CCCCAAAACAGTGAGTAATAGTCCACGAAACGGGCCAGAATCGGCCAAAACTGCGAGTGTTGATGACCGACACGTAAACGCACCCCGAGGTTGGTTAATCGTGGAAATCACTCCGGGACCCCCAAATAGTGAGTAATATTCCATGAAACGGGTCAGAATCGACCAAAACTGTGAGTGTTGATGATCGACACGTAAACGCACCCCGAGGTTCACCAATCGTGGAAATCGCTCTAGTACCCCAAAAAGGTGAGTAATTGTGCACGAAACGGACCAGAATCAGCCAAAATTGTGAGTGTTGATCACCGGCACATAAACGCACCATGGTGTTCGTCAATCGTGGAAATCACTCCGGGACCCCAACACTGAGTAATGGTCCAAGAAATAGGCTAGAATCGGCCAAAACTACGGTTATTAATGACCGACAAGTCAGCGCACCATGGGTTCAACAATCATGGAAATCGCTTTGGGACCCAAAACAATGAGTAATAGTCCATGAAACGGGCCAAGATCACCAAAAACTGTGAGTGTTGATGACCGACATGTAAATGTACTCCGGGGTTCGTTAATTATGGAAATCACTCTGGGACACCAAACAGTGAGTAATAGTTCACGAAACGGGCCAGAATCGGCCAAAACTGTTAGTCTTGATGACCAACACATAAACGCACCCCGGGGTTCGTTAATATTAGAAATAAGTCTGAGACACCAAAACAGTGAGTAATAGTCTACGAAACGGGTCAGAATCGGCCAAAACTGTGAGTGTTGACGACCCACATGTAAACCCACCCCGGGGATCGTTAATCATTGAAATCACTCTGGGACCCCAATACATTGAGTACTAGTCCATGAAACGTGCCAGAATCGGGCAAAACTGTGAGTGTTGATGACCGACACGTAAACGCACCCCGGGGTTCGTTAATCTTGGAAATCACTCTCGAACCCCAAAATATTGAGTAATAGTCCATGAAATGGGTCAGAATCTACAAAAACCGCGAGTGTTGAATACCGACACGTAAACGCACCCCGGGGTTCGTTAATCGTGGAAATTACTCTGGGACCCCAAAACAGTGAGTAATTGTCCACGAAACGGGCCAGAATCGGCCAAAACTGTGAGTGTTGATGACGGACAGGTAAACGCACTCCATGGTTCATTAATCGTGAAAATCAATCCGGGACCCCAAAATAGTGAGTAATTGTCCATGAAACGGGCCAAAATCGGCCAAAACTATGAGTGTTGATGACCGACACGTAAACTCACCATGAGGTTCGTTTTTAGTGGAAATCACTCCGAGACCATAAAATAGTGAGTAATAGTCCACAAGACAGGCCAGAATCAGCCAAGACGGCGAGTGTTGATGACCGACACGTAAACGCACCCCGGGGTTCGTTAATCGTGGAAATCACTCTCGGACCCCAATATAGTGAGTAATTGTCCATGAAACGGGTCACAATCGGCCAAAACTATGAGTGTTGATGACCAACACATAAACGCACCCCTGGGATCATTAATCGTGGAAATCACTTTTGAGATCCCATAACAGTGAGTAATAGTCCACGAAACGGGCCAAAATCGGCCAAAAATGTGAGTGTTGATGACCAATACATAAACGCACCTCGGGGTTCGTTTTTAGTGAAATAACTCTGGGACCCCAAAATAGTTAGTAATAATCCACGAAACGGGCCAGAATCGGGACTCCGTGTTTGTTGCAGCCAGTGAAGGAAGTCAAGATAGGCAGGCTATGTTTGTTGCAGCTAGTGAAGGAAGGCAAGAGGCTTCTGAGCCCGTACATGCTTTGGAAGCTACAGCATCGTCCATGATTATGGAGGAAGCACCTCTCCTTGCAGCTAGTGAAGGAACTCAAGATGTGCATGCTGTGTCTGTTGCAGCAACTGAAGGAAGGCAAGAGACTACTGAGTCCGGACATGCTTTGGAAGCAACCGCCAAGTCAGTGAGTGTGAAAAGGAAATATCGTAAGAAGAACTACCATACCGACACTCCTAGGAGAAGTCCTAGGCTTATACAGATGGGTGAATGTTGTATCGGTCCTGTGGAAGAGCCAGCAGCCGACCACAAGAGGTCTCACACGCTCGGGCCAGCAGAAGAATCAGCTGCCTCTACCGACCCAGCTGAAACGGCTGTCCTCACTATGCCACATGTTGGATCAACGAGTTGTTTTTGCTCTCCAACATCAACGACACTCCTCAGTAAGTTCTTCTCTACCCCTTTGTCACTACAGTTGTGTGTTTATCATGCAAACAATCCATATCAAGCAAACACTGCAACAAATTTCTAGTATTTGAAAAGTTTAGCAGTGGCCTTCCTGAAAAATGTTAACGTTGACCTGTTGTAGGCCTGACTTCCACCACTCCGAAAGCTCAGACTTCTGAAGGTGGCGACGCAAAGTCAGTGAGTGTGAATGCAAAATGTCATAAGAACTACCATACCGACACTCCTAGGAGAAGTCCTAGGCTTATACAGATGGGTGAATGTTTTACCAGTCATGTGGAAGAGCCAACAGCCGACCACAAGAGGTCTCGCACGCTCAGGCCAGCAGAAGAATCAGCTGCCTTTATCAACTCAGCTGAAACGGTTGTCCTCGCTCTGCCACATGCTGGATCAACGAATTGCCTTCGCTCTCCAACATCAGCGACATTCCCCAGTAATTTCTTCTACATCCCTTTGTCATTACAGTTGTGTCTTTATCATGCAAACGTTCCATATCAAGCAAACATTGCAACAAATTCCTGGTATTTGAAGTTAACATTGGCCTTCCTAGAAAAATGTTAACAGTGACCTGCTGCAGGCCCGATTTCCACCAGTCCTAAAGCTGTGACTTCTGAAGATGGCGATGCAAAGCTGGTGAGAGCGAAGGCGAAACATATTGAGAGGAACTACCATATCTTGTCCTTGGTTAGGGAAAAACCACCTCTTGGTACGGTTGTCCTTGCTCTCCAACATGCTGAATCGCCGAATTGTCCTCACCCTCCAACATCAGCGCCATTCTTGTCATTACAGTTGTGTTTTTTATCATGCAAAAAATCCATATCAATGCAAGTGTTGCGACAAATTCCTAGCATTTGGAGTTAACAGTGGCCTTGCCAGAAAGATGCTAACAGTGATCCTGCTGCAGGCCTGACTTCCAGCAGTCCGAAGGCTCTGTCCTCACAAGGTGGTGATGCAAAGCTGGTGACCGGGAAGGTGAAATGTCGTAGGAAGAACTACCGACCCTGCAAACTAACTCTAGTTGACTGAATCTTTCTAACTCTTGTTGCTGTAGTTCCTCTCATGTGTAACCACTCTTATTGCATCTGTAGTGGGATCGATCTGAGCTCGCGTTGCGCCATCTCAAATTCGTCTAGGATGTAAACTGTGGGTGATTTTTGGACTTGTTTCGTCAAGCACATCATTAATTAGGTGGTATTTTGGTGAGCTTGGAAATGGCGCGCAGCTGCTGTTTTCTGGGAGCTTAAGAAAAATTTGTAGGAGTTAATCCTGGCTCCAAGCTGAGATGTAACCAAACCAACAATAGATCCAGATTTGTTAGAGCAACTGCATTTTGATTATCAATATTGCAAAAAAGGTGTGTGGCTTTGGTAGATGAAGGCTGAAGCGATAGTTTAGTTCTGTCCGCAGATGAATTTACAGGCGTTCTTGCTGACCTGCACAGCTGGTAATGTTATGCATGACAAAGTGTTCTTGCTGCGGTTCAGAATACAACCTTTTGGGGCATGACATTTTTTTTACTCCGTTTTATTTTTCAAAGACTTGAATTTCAAATTATTTGTCGATCTAATGCTAGATATGGAGAGAAAATTGCAGACATGCCACGGCCAGCTTGAAGATATGCATCTGACAAAAACGGGAAGATAGGAAGCAATAGTTTGCGACGGCGCATAACCCTTTCTTTTTTTGAAAGAACATGTTCTAGTATTTAACAAACTATAGATGGGCAATAGAGAGAGAGAGATTTGGAAATTAAAAAAAATCATTTGCTCCATTAGAAAAGCTAACAATTAATGCAGGATTAACTCCCTACAAACTTTTGACTGTAACATACACTCTTGTATAACATTTGGGGCCTTGCCATTTATATATAAAAAAGTTTAACACATAACCGGCTTTTATACAGGAAAAATCTCAATCGGCTTAGAGCATCTAAACCCGGAACTCTCAAACCCGCCTCATACATCCCATCCGAGCGGGCCGTCCGGTCACTGCCCGATCACGAAATTTTGACCCAGGCAGACGCCTAAAACGGGCCTCAAACGCGCGGGCTGACCGACACCCGCATATCCAACCCAAATATGGGGCGAATGTGGGGGCTCCCGGGCATACCCGTCACGTCGGACTGACTATGGGGTGCCACGCAGATTAGCCCGAAAACCCGGTGGTCCGACGGACATCGCATCTGTCGTCGTGGCATGAATGCCACGTGATGCCGCTCCGGCTCGCCGCCCGAGACCAAATCCGACGGACGTTGCATCTGTCCACCGGCTTTCGTTTGGGTCGGCGTGGACAGAAAAGACGACCCAACGCGCCGACCCAAACGGACGCGTGTCCGGTTTTCGTCCGCCTGCTGACCCATTCCCGGCTCATTTTTGAGTCGGATTTGCGTCGGCACGGACACGAGACGGACGCGCGCTCGCCTTCTCCTCCCCCTGGCCCGCTGGTCGGTGGTAGCCTCCACCATTTTTCTCCATTTCCCCCCAAAAAAAACTCCCGCCCGTCATGGACGACGACCTCGCCGCCGCCGCCGGCCTCGCCTCTCTTGCCTAGTCCGGCATTGACGGTCGCCCCCTCCAGCAAAGGCAAGCCTCCCCTGCAAGACCGCCGCCGCGCCCAAGCCGAAGAAGACGCTGACACCCAAACAACGGGCAAGGTAGTCGGCGAAGAGAAAGAGCAGGAGGCACGCGGCCGACGCGAGGGATGAAGCCATCGCAGCGGACGCCGTCGCCGCCGTCGCGCAACAGGAGGTCACCAACACCCACGTCACGGCGACAATAAGGGAGGCGCTATATACGCTAGGGTTAAACCCTAGCCAGCACGGCCTCGTCAACGTCGTCGCGGCCGCGGCCAGCACCGGCTCATCCACGTTCCCTCGGATGGTGCCGCCCGACTCGCCCCGCACGTCGGCGACGCAGCCGATACCCGACTTTCACGTCTACCCGCAAGCCTCCCGCCTCTCCGGGGAGTGCTCGCCCGAGGTGAGCGTGGTAGTGCCTTCCACGCCCGCGCCTACGTCCATCGACCTCAACGCCACACCGGTGGTCGGTGGCTCGTCATCCGGAGGTGCAAGGAAATGCGCGCGGCACATGCTAGCCGACGAGCTGTCGGGCGCACGCAATCTGCTCGATGGAATGCCGGCCTCCGGCAACAACGACTACATGCAAAGCATCATCTTTGAGGGTGGTGCGGCGGCTGCTGGCGGTGCCGCCGGGGCTGGCTATGATCCCGAAGAGACACAAAGTCAGGACGGCCGAGGGGCATTCACGCCATCGACCTTTGATCAAGATCAGGTGGCCTTCATGCATGATCAAGGTCGTCGACGCCGCGGGCTGCAAGGTCACCAACAGTGGCGGAGCTTAGTGGAGACCAACAGGGGCCATGGCCCCCCCTTATTTTTTGCATCCACTGAAGAACAAGCTACATCATGAGCCTAATTAGTGTTTAAACTACAAATCAGCCCCTCCTTCACTATTAACTTGGTTCCTTTTAACTAATGGCCCCCTCTTGAATTATTCTCAAGCTCCGCCACTGGTCATCAAAGCGAAGACATCAGACTCTTGTCACGCCTCGCCCATCCCCGCCGGCGCCACGCCACGCCTCGCACATCCCCGGCCAGGCCTTACCCATCCCCGCTGGCGCCATGCCGCGCCTCGCCCATCCCCGGCCGCGCCTCGCACATCCCCAGCCGTCGCTATGTTCGCCGCGACGCCCCACCATGCTGCGGTGCAGCAGCTCCCCCTCCGGGGTGGAGGCTGCGGGGCGGGGTGGTGCCTCGCGCTCGGCTCGGCGGCTGCGAGGCGTGTCCAGCAGCAAGGCGGGAGCAGCACGTACGGCGGCAGAAGCAGCGACTGCGCAGAGGCGATGCTCGTGCACCGGCGTCGTTCCTCACTGCAAGCTCCCTGCATGTTATGTGTTTGACGGAATGCTGGAGCGGATATGTCAGAAAATGTGTTCGTCCTCATCGGGCGCACCGGCCGACCCAATTGAAAAAGCAGACACGGACGAGCGGACGGGTGACACAAACGGACAAAAAAAACCGAACAAAATCGACGTCCGTTTGGGTCGGCCGGTTGGAGTTGCTCTTATTCTTTTTCCGCGTAACCCTAAAACCCTCCCAAGGCGATCAGGGCACGGCGGACTTGGCGGCGACCGCAGATCTCCGGCGGGGCGCACCGGCGGCCGGGACAGATGGCTAGACCATCAGGCTCGGGAACTTCAGGCAACAACGGCGGCTCATCACCGCGCTCCGCGAGGGCGCAGATGGAGGAAGCGCTTGGGAAACTCGACATATCAGAGGAGGAGGCGACTCCGCTCGTGATCAACGATCTGGAGGATGGGACAACACCGAAGTGGCTCCTGGCAGGCAAGGTGTTGTTCAGGAATCTGTTCCACACCCAAACGATCACCAAAGCCCTCGGCCCTGCTTGGGGGAACCATAGGGGCTTGGCTTTCCGTCCGCTTGGAGAGAATAGATTTGTAGCAGAATTTGAATCCAAGCGTGACAGGGATCGTGTCTGGGAGGGCGCTCCCTGGCACATCAACAAGCATGCAGTGATCTTAGAGGAATTTGAGTCTCACATGCAGCCATCTGAATTGATGTTTGACAAGATGCAAATCTGGGCAAGGGTAGTCAATCTACCCTACAACCTGAGGAACGATAAGTGGGGGCTTGCTATAGCCCGACTGATTGATAAGGAAGCTACGGTGGTGCAGATCGATCCACTTGGAGGTTTTCTTCGGGCAAGAGTGACGATTGATGTCAAGAAACCGCTGCGCAGATGGATCGCGATTGATTCGGCCAGAAGGAATAAAATTGATTGGTATGATATCGAGTACGAACAAATTCCTCACTTTTGTTTCTCCTGTGGCCGTCTTGGGCACTCTGATCTCTACTGCCCTACCCCGGGCACAAGGGATGAGAACGGCGACCTGCCGTTTAAGCAAAGCCTACGGGCTAGTGAGGATCGTAAGAAAACAAGTTCTGGGGACAGCACGACGAAGGACAAGCCGGAAACGCAAAACAACACCAAGGAATCACGTTCGTCTAGTTTTCCTTAGAAGCAACAGAAGGAGGTAACTTCCCCGGTCAAGCCTGTGCCGCAAAAACGCAAAGGAGCTCCACAACAAAATTAGGTCTACAAGCCGGTGGTGAAAACTGCCCTCGCTATTACTCAAGGTAGGGGGGAAGATGGAAACAACAACATGGTGGGTATAGTGTTATCTGGGGGCGAACAAAGCACTGATGAGACTGAATCTTCTGAGAAAGAGCCCAAGAAGAAAAAACCAACGCCACCATCTTCTGATATTTCGGCAGAGGCTGCTCGACAGCCCTGCCAGAATCAATGTACGCTAATTTGGAACTGCCGAGGGCTTGGGAACCCTTGGTCAGTTCGAGAGCTTCGCAAAGTGGTGAAGCAAGAAGGTCCCGCCCTTTTATTTGTAATGGAAACTAAAATAAAGGGCAAGAAAGTGGAGGAACTGAATACCTCCCTAGGTTTTTCCGGGTGTTTTGCCGTTGACAGTGACGGGCTTAGTGGTGGTATAGGTTTGTTTTGGATAAGAGATGTTGATGTTACTTTACAAAATTTCAGCAAGGCTCATATTGATGTAACCGTCAAGCAGGACAACAATGAATTGCGGTTTACAGGCTTTTACGGAGCGCCACGAGTGGAGAACCGACATCACAGTTGGCGTTTTCTGCGTACCCTGTTCGCTCTTCCGCACCAAGCGTGGATCTGTATGGGAGATTTTAATGGAACTTTGTTTGCAGAAGAGCATTTTGGAACAAATGCGAGGCCTGAGAGCCAAATGGGAGCATTCCGAGAAGACGTAGAGGAATGTTCTCTCCAGGATCTAGGGTGGAGGGGGGTCCCATTCACATGGGATAGTAGGCAATCTGGAGCTGCCAATGTGAAAGCAAGGCTAGACCGGGCCCTTGCAAATGCAACCTTCCTAAACCTCTTTGAATTTACTACGGTAAAACACATTAGCAGCGCTGAATCAAATCATTGCTATGTCCTAGCACA